GGGGAAAGGAGAGTACACAATGGAGTACTCCAGATACCAGCCGTGTTCACCATCCACACAAGAAGACCTCATCAATAAGTATTTGGAAGCTACAGGTCAACTTCCTGTAAAAAAAGGAAAAGCCAAGAACTGAACTCTGCTCACTTTGAACATAGTGACTGTTTGACTATTTGACTACAAGATTCAGAGATGATGGATTCCAGTGAAATAAATTCAGATGGCTGAAACAAGTTTTAGGAGCTCTTGCTGTTTCACATTCAGAAGCTTCTATGTATATGCAAAGATAATTATATATATATTTAAACTATTTACTATTTTATTGTTTAATGAAAGACCTTAAATAAAATTAGAGTATTACTGAAATATATTTTAATATTTATTTAAGGGGAGAAGATAATAATTTCAGCTTGGAATATATTTAAATTTACTTTGCAATTTTTTTTTTTTTGGACAAGGTCTATGTGTCTAGCTCAGATTGACCTCAAAATTCACACTCCTCTTGCCAAATGCTAGGACTGTGGGTGTACAGCACCGTGCCCCCCCCCCACATGCTAGGGCTGTGGTTTTGTGTATGAATGTACGTTCCAGAGGTTCTTTCTAATTGTCTTCCAACTCAGTTTTGAGATAACATTTCTCCCTAAGCCCCAAGGGTCCTCCTGCCCGTTTCCTTCCAGAGTGACTGACCAGCAGCCTGGGGTCCTCCTGCCTGCTTCCCCAACACTAGGATTGCAGCTGTGTGCCATGCCCAGCTGATTTTTCATGGTTCTGTGGGACTGAACTTGGCTCCTCATGCTTGCTTGACCAGCATTTTACAGACTGAGCCATCTCTCCAGCTCCCTAAATCTTTTTATCATGAGTTTCCAACATGCAGAAAAGCTGCAAAAAACAGTACGAAATAGCCATATAGTTTCTTCCATTTGTAGTCTAGAGTAAACACTTTTTTCAGTGGTTTATTTTTCAAATAAGTTGTCCATTGTCTCTGTGGCATATATTGATACTTTACAAGTTAATCTATTGAGACTATGAATGTAAACATTGTACATCATGATGTTTCCTGGAATGCCATTTAATGAGGCTTTCTGTTTACAAGTGAATCATGGTCTTACTAGAGAGCATTTTCAGATTCTTCCCTAGGCCATTAACACGATGAAGATGGCACTGGGCCATTAGCATGCTGAAGGTAGCAAGTGGTTTCAATTTGTGGCTTCTCCACTTGTGACACCCTCTGTATTAGAAGTACAGTGTATTTGTAGTCTTGCATTAGCTAATAACAAGGTGCTTACCTAAGTTCTCATTTATAGATTCTGATAAAATATAATTTGTAGAGTTGCCCCGCCTACATGCAACTCCTTAAATTTTCTCTCTCTCTTTTTTTTTTAACCTTAGGCATATTTATTTAATTTAAATTGAAACAAGTGTGTTTTACATGTCAATCCCATTTCCCCCTGCCCACCCCATCCCATCCCCTTTCTGCACCACAGGGAGAGTGATGCCTTCCATGGGGTAGCTTAAAAGTCTGTGGTGTCATTTGGAGCAGGGCCCAGGCCCTCCCCAACGTGTCTAGGCTGAGAGAGTATCCCTCCATAGGGAATGGGCTCCCAAAGTCAATTTGTATACTAGGGATAAATACTGATCCACTATAGACTATAGGTTTTCAAATGGATACTGTGGTTACAATTATTGACTAGCTCCATTTCCTCATGAATGCATTTTTCTGTACCATATCATCAAACCTGGGAAGTGGTTTGCTTTTGCTACTGTGAGTACATTCTTAGTAAGGAAATACTGCCACAGAATTTAGGACAGTCTTTGGATATTGAGAATAATCAGAAAAATTGATAAAACTGAGTGTTAAATATTCTTGTTATGCCAGAGGCAGAGGCAAGTAGATCTCTAGGAGTTCAAGGCCAGCCTGGTATCATAATGAGTTTCAGGACAGACAAGGCTACACAGTGAGACCTGTTTCAAGATGGGGGGGGGGAGTGGAGGGCTGATGGGGGGGGGAACGGGGGAAGAGAAGAGGTAAGTATCCTGGGTATCTAATCCATCAGCAGCATTTCATAGGCAATGGCATGGGTCCATGTGGCAGTGTGAACGGAACAGGATCCCATAGGACAGGAACAGAGCTTCATCTGTTGTTAACTTGTTAAATTAGTGATAGATGGGTAGTAACAACCAAACAGCCTATAGCTTGGAAAAGATTAATGTGGTGAAGATTTTTACACTACTATTATGAAGGATAGGTTTAACTAATTTAAAGAAAGTGTTAAGCTGGGTGGTGGTGGTATACACCTTTAATCCCAGCACCTGGGAGGCAGGCAGATCTCTCTGAGTTTGAGACCAGCCTGATCTGCAACAGCTAGTTCCAGGACAGGCGCCAAAGCTACATATTGAAACCCTGTCTCAAAACAAACCAAAAAGTAAAATAAAGTGTTTGTTTGTGTTGGGAAGAGGCCCCACTAGCCGCTGCTGCTGCATGGCTGCCCTCTCCTGACTCACTTCAAAATCCCCTGGAGCTTAAGTGAGGACCCAGTTCCATCTCTAGGTATCGGGCTCCCTAAATATTTCCAGGTGATTCCATTTGCATTTGATGTTAAAGACCACTGCAACGTCACCTGCACATAGACCCACAACATGAAATTTAAGCTTTTTTTGTAATTCTAATGTATAATATCAATATTCTTTTGTGAGATAACACAGTTGGGCTATTCTTTCAGCTTATAATTGACATTTAAAGAAATACAGTTATTTTTTCTGTTATTCTTTCCCTCCTTTTGCTTGTGAATCAACAAAATTTAGCATTTTTGAAAATTAGGAATTTTGTATTTTAACATTTTAATGCATTCTTAAATTTGGCAGCCACCAGAAAGGAGTGAATTGGGACATGTTGGAACTATCCCATTGAAGAAGGTAGCTCATTGCATTGTTGAAACTGTTGCGTGAGAATTTGAAGTCTTCAGCTGACTTATCAGTGCTTCACTAAAGACATCATGTGCTTCTAGAGAACCTGCTGGTTCACTTACCCATTCACATGTAGGCTGGGAAGCATGGCAACTGAGTCTTGTGTTTTGAAAGCTAGGAAAGGTCACAGAACTGACCAGAATTTTCTAAACTGAGAAAAGTCAGTGTGATAAACTATGATGTCTTGAAGGAATAACATTCAAGTCCAAAAATAGACATTTCAACTGACTTTTTGTTTTGGTTTTTCAAGACAGGGTTTACTCTGTGGCTTTGGAAGCTGTCTTGGAACTAATTCTGTAGACCAAGCTGGTCTCGAACTCACAGAGACCCACCTGCCTCTGTTTCCAAGTGCTGGGATTAAAGGCATGTGCCACCATTACCTGGCCTCAACTGATCTTTAAACAAACTGTCTTAGTGCTCTATTGTTGTGAAGAGACATGATCACAGCAGCTCATAAAAATAAAACATTTAAATAGAGTCTGGTTTATAGTTTTAATGGTTTGGTCCATTATCATCATGGCAGGGAGCATCGAGGCACAAACAGACAAGATCCTGGAGAAGTAACTGGGGGTTGTACATCTGGATTCACAGGCAGCAGGAAAAGGGGGACACGGCTTGGCTTGGGCCCTTGAAACCTCAAGGCCATCTCCACTGACACACTTCTTCCAAGGCACACTTGCAAATCCTTTCAAATAGTGCCACTCCCAGATGACCAAGCATTCAAATCCATGGAGCCTGTGGAGACATTCTCATTCAAACCTCTATCTAAAAAATTATCATTCAAATAGGAGAAATCGAAACTGAGTAGAATAGAATGAATTGCAGACAAAATCCTGGCACTTCTTTTGGTATAGCTTGAAATCCCGAAAGTTCTAGAGAAGCTAGATGAATGTGATGGTAAATATAACTGTCACTGACTTGGTGACTCGGAATTTACACTGCTAAAGAGGGCTTGGGGAATTTTGTTTTTCATTTTATGCCGAGGTAAATGAAGCACTTGCTCTGTTGTTAGCCAGTGAAATCAATGTTAATTAAATCAAGCTCGAGATCTCAGAGCTCATGTTAGAAAGATGTTCTGATAATGACACTGAGACACATTTAGTTGCTTTTACTTTGTGGCTTTTGCATATAATTCCTCTCCACACTCTATAGCAAAATCAGTCTGCTTAAGGGTTATATTTGTTGCTCACTGGCTGAGTTATGGTCACCTGTAAGCTTAGTGGAACATCTTTGGGAAGTAAGATCTTGGAGAAAGTTGAAATACCATTTAGAAGGATTTAAGGAATGGTTAGTGATCACAGAATGGCAATGTGTTGCAGTCTACATAATGCTCATGGGATCTATTTTGAAAGATTGTTTAGGGAACTAAAGTTAGAAAACTTATCTTTTTGCTTGATTCTGGCTTGATGCAATCATTACATATTGCTTTTTGGGTGTTTTGAAAAAGTTCTTTGTCTTTGTTATTGCATAAGTGGGAAAGCTGCTATTGCCCTTAAAAGATCATGCAGAAGGTTTAGGACTTGTTAAAAGGAGTGGATATGGGAGAGGTAAATGCAACAATTTGGGGTTTTAAATAGAAAATAAAATACAATTAGGTCTGCTTCTGGCTATTTTGTTAAGTGTCTCTGTCTAAAACCTTTCTCTGAAGTGTGCATTTCCCATTATCGAATAGTGCAGACCAAGTAATACACTCCAGTTTTAGTAGTTGTCTTGACACTGCTGTGAAAATGACATTCTTTCTGGAACACCATATGGACAGTTTTGGTCTTAGCTAGGAATAGATCATATGAGACTCTGGAAGTCTGGGACAGTGGCAGCAGGACACAGCTGTGCCAGCCACATGAGCACAAGGGTAAACAGCAAAGTCTGTGTGTTGTCAGGCTGGGTGTCAGTTAGGTTGATGAACTGCATTTCCAGCTTCATTGCGGACAACCTCATCCATCGTGAGGGTGCTTCTGTATGCTTTTTGACTGGGAAGCTGATGCCCCCTAATCAGTTACTGGCCAAGGAACCTGGCTCAAGGGTTTAAGACAGTGACATAAGGGTTCCATTAAGTTTTAATAATTGTGAGAGGCAGCTGATGGCAACATTTCCTGGATCAGTTCTTCCTGTCTTGAGGAGGTACTTCACTGAATTTGATTATTACATATTATGTTTGCCATTATAGATTACTTACACCAACACTGATACATAAAAAATACGTATCTAATGTACTCTGAGCTAGATCAGTGTTTGGTTAACTTTGTTTGCAGCTTTATGATGTGAGACCCTGTGTGCTGTTTGTGAGATTCCAATCAGGCAATATTGGGAAGTGATGTAGTTCTAGGTTAGTCTAAATTTTTCAGTGCATACAGAAGCTTGCAAACACACTTCATTATTTAGAAATACGAACATTTATTTGAAAGTTAAAATGGAATACTTGCCTGAAATTAGCAGTTAATATTCCCCTGCAATTTACTTTCATTGAAAAAAAAATGCTTGTTGTTGACATAAGTAGGAATGATTTAGCAACATAAAATAGCTATAATATGTCTAAAATGATGAAAAACACAAATTCAGAGATGAAACCTTTCCCCCAAAGCAATTGTTCACCCACCTGCCCCAAGCCTCAGCAATGCGCTCTGACTACTAAGCTCTGAGTAGATATAGGTACGCATCCACTCTCAGAGTTAAACACCAAGGCTGATCAGGTAGGACACATTTGCCTGTATCCACAGGTGTGCCTCGGTGCTAGGATGCCTGGACCTTTGCTTATATACAGCAGTGATGAAGAAGGCCAGTGGAGTCGTCTTGTTGGGAATGTGATAGGAGCAGATCTTTTTCTCTTTAGAAATTACTGAGCTCTGTTGGTGCCATGGCTGATGCTTCATCAGTTCCAGAGGCTTCTTCAGGGTTCTGCAGCTCTTGACAGTAGTACTGTACTTTCAGTGGTTTGCCAGGGTACCAGAACAAGTGAATCCGACAGGGAATGATTTCCTAGGAAATAAAAGCCTAAATATTGTAACTTGAAAAACTTGAAATAAAAACAGTTTGACACACAACGTTGATTTTTACCTGTGTTGAAAATTCATGAAGTAGAGCGGTGAAATCAAAGTCAATGCCATCATCATTAGTTTTCTAGAGGAAGGAAAATAGAGTTAACATAGTAAACACCAGGGGTTTTGTAAGGTCAGAGTGCTAGGCTGTGTTGTGTGTTCCTGTGGGTGGTGACACAACTCTTCTGCTGAAACACCTTGGCAGTGCCCGGATCCACTCAAGAAGTCATGGATCTATCTGGTTTAGGTTTTGTCATCCAGTTCTACAGAACTCCGGCTGAATGTCCTTAAAGCTTTTTTCTGTCTGGCATTTGTGGCTTTTGTTGAAGGCTGAAGTCTGTGAGGATAAGGAGACTCTTCTAGCAACCTCCGTGATGTATGTGTGCCTCTGACATGTTGGCCCTGCTTCCCTCTGAGAGACAAGAGAAAAGCAGAATATTTCTCCAGTGCTTACCCCATATGGGCCAGATTTTACTACTGGCAGTCAATACACATGACTCATGTGATTCTCCTATCTTACAGGATTAAAACTGAGGTCTGACCCCAGCCTCCACAGCCTTCATACATGCTGCATTAACACGCTCCCATGATGTCGCTAACCATTATATCAAAACCAGTGTGTTAGGTATGTTCTGGTGGGCGGGCATTCATCCTCACACCATTTACTAGAAATTTTAATAAGTCAATTTCCTAGTTCCCTTTTTATGTTTTTTTATTTTTATATATGGAAAGTACTTTTTAATAATAAAATAGTATTATTTTTAAAACCTTTTGTCTTTAGAATAAAATTTAGTCTACCAGGTTTTTAGTGAAACTACTAAAGAATATATGATATGACAGTGTGGGGGGGTGGACACTGAAAAAGAACCTGGTTTTAGGCTTTGTCTTTGCTTTTCTTATGGTGATGGAGATGATCACAAGCCGTGTGCAGTAGGTGAGGAGGGACTGTAGAAAATGCAAGAGAGGCTGGGGGAATCAGAAGCAGGCTGTTCTTGTATGGTGGCTTTCTTTCGTTACTGGGTAGGTTTCCCTCCAGCCTGGCAGGATACACAGGAGTGTTCAGACATCTGAGGCACAAGTCACAAAGTCGGAATTCATCAGGAAACCAGTCTTTCTCAACAGAATTAGTTACCAGCACTTATTACAGTTACCCATCCGAATCTGTAGGCTCTGTACCCATGTGCGCAACCAACTATTAATAGAAAATATAAATTCTGAATGTGTGGGCATGTTTTCATTTCTGTCTCCTAAACAAAATACAATAACAGCAGTTGACATAGCGTTTACAATGTACATAGGCAACCTAGAGAGAACGTGCGTGGGAGAATGTGTGGGGCTCACAAACACTGTGCTCTGTCAATCAGGTATTCATTTGGAGGTGTGTTTTTGCCCTTGCCTGGCCTTCATTTGTATGTTTTATCTTGCAAGGAAATGCTGACCTTTCCTAAGTTGTTGCTCATCAGTGGACTCCTGTTGACTGTCTAGGACTCCACTACCCTCTGTAATGTTCTCAAGGGCTGGCTTTACAATGTAATCTTAATTTTTTTAAAAAATTCTTTGCTTGCAGACATCCTCTCAAGGCAGTACAGTACTTTTTTATTCTGCTTTTGGAAATAGCATATTTTTAATGTGTATGTGTTTTGAGATAGGCCACACTGTCCTGGAACTCTGTAGTTGAGGTGGGTCTTGAACTCCTAACCTTACACCTCCTAAGTGCTGAGATTATAGGCCTGGCTTTCAAAGCAGCATTCTTTTTAATGAAATTATGGTAGTTTTCAAGTTTTAGGTAAAAGGGAGCTGAGCTGTACATAAACAGTACAACACCAATTTCATTTAATAAACTGTTTTGCTCAAACCACAGAGTAGGGCTTAGACTGTATGTAGTTCAATGGTAGAGTGCCTGCCTCGCATGTGTGAAACATGGGGAAGGCTCATTCCCTAGCAGTGACAAAAAGAAAGGTATTACCCATGTTAAATGTGTAGGTTGAATTATAATCCCCCCCATACTTGTATTTTCAGGAAGAAGAGCCCTTAAACCAAACCCAAAGCACAGCTGTTATAGAGCTGCAGAGGTAAACAGCACACCTCACAGTCTGCCCTCACCATGTCAGGCCCCGCCAAGAAGTCATTATTTTTAATATTATTCAGAAATAACCTCTTTGAAGGGGAGGAAAAAGCACATGGGACTAGGAAGATTTAGTCAGGGGAGGAATAGACTAGAGAGAGAGAGACAGAGACACAGAGAGAGACAGAGATAATAAAAGAGGGAGCCATTATATGTTTGAAGAGAATACTGACTCTAGAGAAATGTCCAGAGACCCCCAACTAGCAATTTGAGCAATAGTGCAAAGGCTACCATAAATGCCCTTCCCTGATAATGAGATTGAGGACTAACTTATCCACCATCATGGAGCCCTCATCTAGCAGCTGATGAAAACAGAAGCAGACACCCACAGCTAAACACTGAGCTGAACTGGAATCCAGATGCAAAGATGGAGAACAAGACCAGGCTATAGAAACCCACAGAAACAGCTGACCTGAACAAGGAGGAGCTTACGGGCCCCCAGACTGATAGCTGGGAAACCAGCATTGGGCCGACTCAGACCCCCTGAACATGGGTCTCAGTTAGAAGGCCTGGGCAGTCTAAGGAACCTCTGACTGTGGAAACAGGATGTATCCCTGGTGCAGGAAAGGACTTTGGGAGCACATTCCCCATGGAGGGATACTCCCTTAACCTAGAGACTCCACATGACTTGACAGATTTAGATGACCCCTCCTGGAAGGCATCACCCTACCTGTGGAATGGGGGGTGTGTGATGGGAGGGTGGGGGGATGGGAGGGTGGGAGAGAGGGAGAGGGAACTGGAATTGATATGTAAAATAAGAAAAAAAAACAATAACAAACAAACAAAAAAAAGAAAGAAAGAAAAGAAAAAGAAATAACCTCTTTGGCATCGATTCAAATCATCACAAATGCCAAGGGCTTATATTCCAGATTGATGGTGATTATTATTTTTATTTTTGTAACTTAGAACTTCAATCTTCCTGGAAACCATAGGGAAGGAAGCCTCTGATTTTTCACTGAGAGCACAGCAGAGAACTTAGACTGGCTCCCACCTGGGCAAGTGTCACCTGGCGAGTGTCAGCTGTGCAAGCACTGAGGCTTGCTGCTCCCTCAGCCATCACCCTGCTGCTGCAGTTTCCTGTCTCAACTAGCCTTCTGTCGCTCTCAGAACCTCTTGGCTTCTGTCCCAGCGACATCTACTTCCATTCGCCTTACTTTGACTAGGTAAGCTGTCTATCAGGGTCTTGTGTTTCTTCCTCCCCAGTTTGTTTCTCTCCACAGCGCTTCCCACCACTACTGGATACATTCTCATCAGTGCATGAGCTCTCTGTCTGGCTTCTTTCTAGAATTAGGTCTCACTGAAGTCAACAAATGTAGTTTTGTTTACTGCTACCTCCTCAGTCCCTAAAACAATACCTGAGCCATTGGAGTCATTCAAAGATTTGCTGAATGAATGAATGAAATGTAGTTAAAACTCTTGCCATGAAGGTAAGTATTCCTGCTGGGACTCCCCTGACCCAGCTAATTTTCAGCCTCTTACCAACTGCTTCACACTACTGATCTGGATCAAGTAGTAGTTCAGAAGCTGTGTTGTCTTCTCCCACATCACATAAGAGCTGCCGAGTAAAGCCAGGTCCCACAGGGGTCTCAGTGAGGGATCGATATGTCCATGACTATCTGAGAAGGAGGGGGAGAAAAGCACATTTGAACTAAGACATTTTAAAGAGAGAATCTGGGATATTTCAGTAATGAAATGAGGGATGTGGTACTAGAGCATCTCACGCAGTGTGTTGGTCTGGACATAAGGTCAAGATGGGAATTCTATGTTGCTGTGCCAAATGAGTATAAACTGACTTAATGGAAATTTGTAGCACTATGTAAGTGTGTTACAACAGTCACAGTACTAAACATTAATCTAGACATTTGTTGACTAAAAGTCCACTGCCCATCTTCTTACTTGCTAGCTTGGCTTAAAAGTCAGTGCCATTGTGTTCTTTAACCACTGTCTTTAAAGCTAATCAATGAGTTGGCAGCTTCTCAGTCAGGTTTTGAACACATGAAAAAAATTAGATGGATTTTTTTCCTGTATTGTTTGTTTTTTAACCTTTTATTTATATATTTTTAATTCAGCAAACACTGAAAACCCACTCAACATCAGACTTCAAGAGATAGGGAGGCGACAGTTAATTATATTTAGAAAGTCAAACCTCAGTGAATAATTTCTAGGGTACTATCACAGATCACCATTGTGTGCAGTTTAGTGGAGAAGCCTGTGTCGTGGCCCACCAGCAGTGTGGTACTCCAAGGAGAGCTTATTAGGAAACATTCTTCAGGTAAAGTAACATTTAACATTCATCCTGTTGGTTGGTAAAGCAGAGTTGCCTGATCTTGTGGGGACACCCCTTCTGCGATTATCCCTGGATGGCTGTGGGGCAGGTGGGTGACAAAGAAGTACAGTTGTTGCACTCCTAGAGACAAGTAGGCAAGGGCGCGGGTTATTTGGCTGGAGAGTTTGGGGGAAGGCCCCACAGGAATGAGACTGTTTTCAGGGCTTTGAATTCCAGTCTTGTGGGTGGAGGTGCAGCGAGGGGAGGAGTGAGCTTAGGAGGACACAGGCAGGCTCAGCCTCCATGGCTGGCCTTGAAGGAATATGAATATATGACATCATACTATGAATGCCATCCTGTGCCGAGCCAGGTGGACGTGGACTCTGTCTGTATTAAGTCTGTACAGGACAGACAGAAGGACAATGAAATCTAAGACCTGGGATGAACTGTTGCTGTAGTCCTATGGAAAAGGACCACAACAGTTGGCTGACCAAATTTGAAAACAGCAGAATGGGTCCCACCAGATGTTTTGTGGAGGTCATAGAAAGTGGCGATGACCAAATATTCTAGTAAACCCTATAACAGTAATGCAATTAAAGGCCAGAATATACAAACCTTGTTGGAAGAGAGGGACTTATTGAGGTTGGTATTAGATGTATGAAGTATGTGGTTAAGAAAAGCTACAGGAGTGGATGATGTAAAATGCTACAGACACATTAAGAAAATCCCAACAGAGGAAGTCCTGTTGGGTTTGGCATCAGCAGTCCTGGATGATTAGGGGCAGTTTCAGTTACAGAGTGTAGAAGATGCATTAGGAATGTTTGTATCTTAGCAATGTGAAGAGAGTCTCCTTTTGAAGAGTGAGGAAGGAAAGGGACAATGGCTCTACAAAGCACTTGGTCAACAGAGTCTCTGGAGCAAGATCAAGAGCTACTGGTGGACAGGAGTTTGAGAAGGATACTGATGGAGAAAGGAGAAGGATACTGAGGGAGAGATGAGAAGGATACTAATGGACAAAATCATGGGAGAAGCCAGAAAAATCAATCAAGGATATAAAGAAAATGATCTTGGGTTGGATAGTTGGTTCAGCAGTTAACAGCACTGGCTGTTTTTCCAGAGGACCTTGGTTTAATTCCCAGCACCTACATGGTAGCTTACAACCTCATGTAACTCTAGTCCCAGGGGATCTGATGCCATCTGGCCTCCATGTGTGTGCCCACATGTGCATAGATAGATAGACATGCAGGCCAAACACTTACATGCGTAAAACTAGAGTTTTAAACATTAAAATAAAGATCCTTGGATGAGAGAGTTTGGGGACATAAGAATTGGTGGAGCATAAACTTGTGGAAGCAATGGGCTGGGCATAGTGGTAGAGAGGAGAACTTGCCATGCAACCAAGAAGACCTGAATTGAATCCCCAGGTCCCATATAAAGGTGGAAGGAGAAAACTGACCTCATAAAATTAACCTCCATGTGTGTGTCCCATCATCCCTTCACCCCCACCCATGGAAATCAAAATGAGTGGAAGCAAATGCTCATGCTGAGTGAAGCAGAAGTAAACTGTCTCATTGCCCTGGCTGTTTTGTAGAGAGCAAGAAGACGTTAGACATAATGGGTTCACTGGGGGCCTGGCACTTGGCAAGTGCCTTTAGAAGAAACCTTGTTGAGAGTGAAGCTGAAAGGCCTTGGTTTCCTGCTCTGCCATCATCCACTGTTACATGATTCCTCTAAGGGTTTGGTCTCATTGTTCTCTTCTGTTGACATCCAAGCACCTTCCCGCTTAGAACTGAGCCCTGTGGTACTCCTATGACTTCTCAAGCTAACTTCTGTAGCCCAGTTGTCATCCTGCCAGAACATGTTAGTCCACAAGAAGCTGTGACTTTATTAATGTTATTGTAGAGAGGTTTCAGACTTCTGCTGCCTGGAAGAATTACTAGTACTTTATGAATGAATTTGTGGTTTCCCCTCGATGTGAGAAGCTAGCTAAATCATTAGGGTTCTAGGACATGTAATGGAAGACACCAAAGCCAACACAGTGATAGGAATGTCTCTGCCTTGGTCTACTGTGACAAAGTTCGGGCATCCTTTCCCCCTCCTCTTTTCCAGGGATTGAACCTTTCTTCATGCAGCGCACCAACACTTTCTTATCTTACTGTGGCTTTAGATTTGTGATAGGCAAAGATAAATGCATTACACTACTGTCAGTAGTGAGGGCATGTGACAGGATATGTGTGCTTAGCAACAAAGGGTGTTACCGATAATTTGAAGCTCCTCGGGTCTTTTCCTCTGCTCATACATCTGTGGGAAGTTTGTGAATTGACTGAAGAGGGAAAATGATGGGGAGCAGGATTAGATTGTCTTGCTTATTAATTAAACTGTGAATGTTCAGTGCTGTGGACTAACTAAATGCTGACTAGAAACTGCTAAGGCTTGAACTAGCTACTTCAAGCCTGTCTCCATAGTTGGACTCAATCTAAAGCCAACGCTTTGGTTTATTTTTCCTTCTAGAAATTTATAAATTAAATTTATTGCCATACATCCACTGTGTTACTTGCTTTTAGCTACTCAATATACCAAAAGTCATTTCCTATTGGAAAGTAGATAAGTATATTAAAAGGGCAGTAACAATGAACAAAAGTATATTTCTCAACAAATAATATAAATAAATTATAAATTAGAATATTAAGTAGGACTATATTGCATGACTTATTGAATCATAGCATTATTTTATAATAAAATTCATGTCTTTTAAACAAAATAATTATATTTTGTACCTTCCAGTGATAATTAGTACTTTCTAAGAATCTAGGGCAACTGCCTCATCAAGTTTTATCCTGCACTCATTCAGTGAAACTTGATACTATGAAACAATGAGTCTGTTAAAATACAGCTCACCTTAGAGATCTGTGAACTTTGAGCACAAATGTATCTGGTCACACTCAGACTAACTCTGGTGTATCTGTGTAGTAAACCAAGCCTTTAGATCCTAAGCAGATAGTTTTGCATACATGAACAGTAAGCACCACTCAGTGTCTGCTGAACTTACAGTCAGTGCAGAGCTCAAGTTCTGTTGATGAAAAGTGCTCACCACTATGAGTGAACTATTCATGTATGTGTGTGCATGAGAACATGCATGTATCTGTGTTTGTGTATGCACAGAATGTTCTGGTGTATGCACAGAGGCCAGAAGAGGTATCATGTCCTTTGGAGCTGGAATTAACAGGCGTTTGCAGGATGCCTAGCTTCCTACATGGGTGATGGGCTCCAAACTCTGTTCCTCTGATTGTGCAGCAAATGCTCTTCTCCATCTTTCTAGCCCCAAGACTTTTTGGTGTTTTATAGTAGCCAGCTTTAGGTATACTGTAGAATGGCCCCTGTGAGTACATAGGACTTAGTAAGTAAACAGGATCCAGTTGAATGGTTCTACTGAAAAGTATCCCAAAGATAATGATACTGTGGCAAATATTCTTGGGAAAGTTCTATCCAATGTCAGTGGTGAAGAGCCTGTACTGTTCTTGCAGAAGACCCTCACCACGCAGTCCCCTTCCACCTGTAACTCTGACTTTGGGGAGCTGATGCCCTCTTCTGAACTCCATGGTCACATGCTCTCCCATGTGCACATTAGTGCACATGCATGCATGTACATGTGAACTCTCACATACAAACACACACACACACACACACACACAATTAAAAATAAATCTTTTTATGGAGCAAATGAGCCCTATTTACCAAACTAAAGTGGAAACAAGATCCTCATACAACTGTCACTTTTAAAATATTAGTCACTAGTTCACTTATTCCAAGTATAATGACTATCTTCAACAATGTTCTTAATTCTCATAGTTCTTTGGCTTAAGGTTTGATCTTTGTCAATGAAGCATTAGGTGTGAGAATCATTGGAAGCCATGATATTAGCAGTGCAAACATTTAGTCAGTGTCAGTAAGTGGGGGCAGATGCAGGGAGAAATGGAGCCTGAGGTTCTCAGGTGTTAGTGAGGACTTGCCAGATATCTGGGCCAATGAGCAAAGTGAGAGAGTGTGGGAAGGAGAGTGCCAGAGTGGTCAGATGTCACGCTTATGCCCAAGTGCAAGTCCAGAGATGACTTCTGTGGTTTGGGAAATTGGATTTGCCAGTAAGTGCTGAATGTCTACTGCACCCACACACTCTGTTGAGTGCCAAGACAAATGAGCTGTCCTCCACTCCAGCTGAGTCACTGCAAAGGGCAGGGCACATCTCTTGGAGACGGCTCCACTGCCCATTAGCCACTGACCTGAAATGAGATAAACATGACCCCACTGCAGCATCCCAGAATGGCCGATGCAGTCCTTTAGCGAGCCCTGGGGCAGAGAGACTGAGCACAGAAATGGAGCATCTTGTCAGCTAAACCTTCCAGGGCTATCAACAAAAACTCCAGTCTCTAGACTCCCCTGCAATCTGCACTCTATTCTATGCTTTCTGTTTTTGTTTTGTTTGGTTTTTTTGTCTTTTACTCATAGAGTCAGCTCTTGTGTACTCATTCTATGATGTAAAATGCTAAACTAAAAGGACTCAGCTTTTGGTAGCTTTAGTATATTGTAGACATGAGCCTTGCTTAAATAATGAGATACATTCCAACCTATAGCTGAACTTTAGCACCTCTCCAGACATGCAAATGTAAATAATCATTCTTTTTAAGGTTTAGTGATTATATGTATTCCTGAATATAGGACTCCCAGCTACTTATTCTTACCAGGTATACGGATGATGTCCAGAGGATTCTTCAATTGCTTCACTTGTTTGTAAAGCAGATAATCTTTTTCTTGTCTCTTCATTTTCTCAGTGAGCCCCATGCAGGTGACATTAATGGCTGGTCTGGGTTTTTGATTCTTGAAAAACACCCTTGCAGAACACTTTCCCAGTTGTTCCTCACCTTCCTGAAATAAAGTTTTGAAGTTACCCAAGAAGGTTCCTTATCAACTATGCCCACTGTAATTCCCACAAACATGCAGATTGAGAATCCATGGCAGGCTAGCATCAACAGAGGGAGAGTAACTTTATAGAAGGTTATTTTTGTGCTCATGGCTTGAGGTTAGTGTGAACTGTAAACTGGCTAGAATACAGAATTACCTGGATCACAGAATATAGGCATGCTGGAGGTGGGTTATTTTGGTTGTATTAATCAGTATACCTGTTGTGGGTGTCTGTGAGCCTGAATTGGAGAAAGGGAGTTGAGAAGGCCACATAGTCATCATCCTGCTTTCTGATTGTGGATGTAGAGTGATTCCTACTGTGATGGACTTCCCACTGTGATGCACTTCCCACTGAGATGGACTATGTCCTTGAACTGGAGACAGGCAAACCTCTTTTCTCTTTTTGTTTTTGTATTTTAGCACAGCAACAGAAAAGAAACTAAGACACAGCAATGTAGTAGTCCTTTAGTTTTTCTGCCATTTCAACTTTTTGCCTTCTGATTTTGTCTTTACATAATAATGCTGCGCCTCTTGCAAAGAAATTGCATTGCTATCTATTGAGCCCTTCTTGGCTCACACTTCTAGGGTAGTGGCTGTTTCAGTCATTATGGAACTAACACAATGGTACTTGGACATTTTGATTATTAACTTGAATCAGAAGACGAAGCTGGTTCCCACTGACAAAAATACCAGCATGTGCAGGCATGAATTAGCTCCTTTCCTAAAGACCAAAATGCTATATTCTAAAAAGGAACTCACTCCATGTCTTTAGCTTGCATGACTCAAATTGGTTTCTATCTGAGCTCAGCTACTAACCCAGGCCATAATAATTCTGCCTCCCCATTCTGAGATCTCTTCCAAATTAAACAGCCCATTCATCCAGATAGAACAAATTCAGCCATGCTTGCACTCAGACTGTGGATTCTGTGACCATCTTTACTTATTTCAAATCCAAAGACTTCGGGTGTATGCTCATGGATAGTGATTCTTCCCCCATTTTGATCAAGGTTCTTTAACCTGACCAAAGCCAAGGACCTATCCCCAGAAAAACGCACATGTTATACCATCAGCATTAAACTTGGAACAAGGAGTTTACAGTCACTAGTCGAAGCCCCACCCACACCATGGGCTCCTAGTCAGGGTGTCCTATCAAAATGTGGCTGGTGGAAGAGTTGAAGCAATAACCTTCATTTCTTTTTAGTGATGTAAATGGCATCCTGGTTTTGAGGCAAGAACCAGAAATAAACCCGAAAGGTCCACAGTGAAAGAAATTATAATCAAAGTTCAGTCTTCAAAATAAGCCCACTTCTAGAACTAGTTCAACAAACTGAAACATTTCCATTGGGCAAAATTTTTCTAGGAGAGTTTATTTCAGATGGGAGGAGGGGTTTCTGGAGTGCATTAACTAGCAAGCTAATGATTGGTGCAGCATAGAAAAACTGAAAGGCTCTTTCAAGCTCCTATCAGAGAAGCACTCCCTCACTCCATCCTCTTTTGATGTCAACCATTTCCAGGGAAGAGGATGAGAGCCAGGTATTTATGTCCCCTCTGTGTACCTCCCATTGGACAGCTTTGTGGAAGCAGTGCTGTGAGATAAAAGTCTGACCTTCATTCCAGTTAGCTAGCTGCACTCTTAGAGTACAGTCCATCAAATCCAGAGGAAAATCCAGTCGTCATTAGCATTCAGCTTCAATACTTTAAATTTGCAAAGCTAGAAATCAAAGGCATCTTCCTCATCCTTTCAGAAAAATTAACTCTACAGTTAATAAGCAAAGTCTGCATGTATCGTGCTAGAACTTGCTTCTGAATCCTGATGAGCTTTCTTCCAGGGGCACTGGGTTAGGGATGCCATGCTTTCTCCTCTGAAGCTCTGATTCCCTGTGTGACACTTTGATGTGGGGCATGAGTCTTCAATTCCCAGGCTTCTGAGCCTCAGACCACCACTGCTGACAATCTGGCTGGTCTCACCACCCATGTTCTGGTTGCTGCCGCTCAGTCTGACTCCGCACAAGGACATTCATCTGCTTCTAATTTCCACATAGGGTTTCTGCTTACTCCTGTAAATGCGGCGAAGGAAACCCAGCAAATCACGGGCTGCATGCTGGGAACTTTAGGGAAGCAGACAGTGCTTGTATGTAGCATGCACGGGCACAGCCCAGTGTTTTATGTAATGCCTCTGTCTAAGTGGTTCTTTAACCTGATATGGAATTGGCCTCATGCTGTGCCAGCCTGCCAACTAGAAATGTCACCAGCTGACAGGAAAAAGAACATAATGGCATTTTATAGTGAATCATTCTAAAGACTATGAAGTGTGAGGAGGGACACCCAAGGGAGTGTGAAAGAGGGAAATGACAGGTATGTGGATGGTTTTAAGTGCAGACATATGAAACTGGTAATTGTTGAAGCCATTAATGAGAGATAAGAAAAGGGGTCCCCAAGCATGGTTCAGGAATTCCACAGAGCTCTGCAGCCCGGCATCTGTGACCTGAGCCTTTGCCAGAATAGACAGGTGGTCAGCCAGAATTCATCTAATTTGCATGGCCCTTATTTACATGTCAGAGATTGCACAACTGGAAATTATGTGCAAAGTGGCTCACAATAACTTCCCAGAACTGTACACCTGCCAGTCTGAACTGTCTGCCTTCACATGACAGGAGTTACACATCATGCAACGGCTCTCAAACATCATCTCCCAGAAGAAATGGGTTATTTAAAGAAGATGTAAGTGCTGAACATAGGAAAGCTCCCTGCAAATCACTGGTCAGGGAGGCTCCAGAGGTACTCAGAACATGGTAAGTAGCTGTTAGGACTCTACTACTGAAGGCTTCAACTATGGTTGCAGGGCATCAGGAGATCATTCTCAAACTGACCATGAAGCTCTCCCTGCTGACTGGTTTCATAGTACCGGAAGGTGCCCTGTAAGCTGCTGAGGGGGAAGCAATCAATAGCCTTACTGAGCACAGGATCCTGCAAGCGACAACACTGACCTGTCAGCAAAGCTGTACCCACTGGTACAATAGTGACCTGATGCTTACAGAGGCACCCAATCAGCTTCTGCTAGAATGTGAGGCCTGCTTCACAGGAGTGATTTCATGCCTGCTACTGTAAGCCTTGCCAAGAGCCCATGATAGAAAATCATAGGCCCCAAGGATGCTGTTTTGATAAATGGTTACATTGTCACTGTAACACCATCTTCTTAACTTTTAGCCTCGGTCACGGAAGCTTTTTTTTTTTTTTCAGGGAGTCTCATGACTGGTCAAAGTGCTGAGAAAAAAGGACTGTAGAGCTCAGCCATAGATGAGTAGGCAGGGCATCTATGTCAACTTCCCCATCCAAGGCTCAGGGAACATCAAAAAAGTGCACAGAAAGAATGTGAGTGCCAGAGGGTGAGGATGAAAGCTATGAAAATGCCGTTGTCCTAGAGAGATGCGCAGTGTTAGAACACAGGCTGCTCTTGCAGAGGACCCAGCTTTGATTCTCAGCACGCACATGCCACAACTGTCTATAATTCCAGTTTTAGGGGAGTCCAATGTCTTCTTTTAGCCTCCAAGGGCACCAGGCATATACACAGTGCACAGACATACATGCAGGTAAAATATCCATACACATGAAACAATTTTTTTAAAGGCTGACTTCCATGACCAGGCTGGTGCACACATCAACTCAACTCACAGCAGACTGTGACTTGACCCACACAGGGTCAAACCAGTCAAATTCTCACATGGATTGGGGCCCCATCTCTACTTGAGGGGTTACTGGCAATTAATAGCTGCTGGAGGGAGACTCACTTTTCTCTGGTGATGGGGCCATTAGAAGGCCTCACACACATCTGCACATGGTCAATACTAATTAGACTCCATGTGCAAACAATAATAATTACAATAGTAATGATGGACATGAGGTCTAGAGGGAGATAGTTGGTGGGTATTGGAGGGAATTGGAGAAAGGCACTAGAGCATGGAGAAGATCAAAACATGTCATAGAACTTTCAAAGAATAAATTAAAATATTTTAAATGAAAATTGAACATAGTGACTTAATAAAAACTGTAAAAGTAATTCCCCAGTGAGGCCCCACATCCTTACAGGCAGGCTAGATTCTAGTTACTCCAGCTTGCTGCCCTCTCTAGCATACTTGATTAGCTATTATCCTACTGTCCTGAGGCCTTTCCCCACTACTGTGGTGGGTACTCCTATTAAGATTCTCACTTTTTCCATTAAAGGTTGTATTTATAGATGTTGCTAATAGACTACACCACTAATTAGGGCAGCTTACCTCCTCTGGGTTGTAGCGCTCTGTGCTAAACACCAAGTTCACTTCACATTCCTCTTGAGAGTTGACCTGAAATACGGAAATACAGTGGAATCACTCACATTTTCATATCAAGAATCTTATTCTTGTTGAGTTGTAGTGTGGCACACGCCTTTAATTCCAGCACTCAGTAGACAGAGGGAGGTGGATTTCTGTGAGTCTGAGGCCAGCCTGGTCTACAGAGTGAGTTCCAGGACAGCTGGGACTACTTGTTTTAAAATAAAATAAATCATGTTCTTGAGGCTGGAGAGATGACTTGTGCTCAAGAGCAATTTCTCCTCTTTGAGGGAACCCAGGTTCAATTTCCAGCACCTACATTGTGGCTCACAACTGCCTGTTACTCCAGTACAGGAGATCCATGTGCCCTCTTCTGGCCTCCAAGGGCACCGGACATGTATATAGTGCACATACATACATGTAGGTGAAACACTCATAAGCACAAAAAAATTAAAAATATTACCAGCATCATGTTCTTGGCATGTCAGGCTGTCAAAAGGAGAGATCTCAGGCTTTGTGGTTTGAGACCCGCTCACAGAGTCAGAGCTGGGAATGGGTTATGGAGAACTTAGAATAGTCATTCAATGAGAAACAGGTGTGTAGACAGGCTGGGTGAACATCAGTTCTATCATCCCTTGAGTGTTGTGCACCTCCTGGTCCTGACCTGGGCACCCAGGCAACATCAACAGGAAGTCCAATAAAGGCTTCCTTGTATCATTATTGGCCAAACAGAATGCAGGCAACAAACGAATAATGAATAAAAAAATAATGGTGGTCAAGGGAGGTGCCTGAGATAGTGTAGTCTCCCAGCTCAGGGCTGAAGGGCAGTAAGGTAGCTGCCACGTCTAGCTCTGTGGATGTCTTTCAGGCAGAAATAACGAAGTTGTCCACAGGTCTTACGCTTCCTGGGGTAGTCTCAATATTAAGTGTTCCTCAAAGATTTTGTGCTAAGGCTTGGTCCCTCCAGGTGCCATTGGGAGAGGTGGGACTTTAAGAGGAGGGTCTGTGACACATCTGTAGGCCTGAAACATGCCATTGCAAGGTCTCTTCTCCTCTATCTCTTTTCCTTCCTGTCATGAAGAGGACAGTTTTGCTCAGTCACCTCCCCCCCCACACCCCACCCTTGCTGTGATGTGCTTTCTCCCCAAAGGCCCAAACACAGTGGGATGGAGCCATCGTGGACTGAAACTCTGAAACTTTGAGTCAAAAGTAAAACTTTTCCCTTTACGAGTTGACTGCCTTGGACATGTGCTGTAACAAAAAGCTATTGACACTTGTAATTTTCACAGGCAGACAAACAGACTCTCTAAGCTTTTCATATGCATTTTCAGATCTGAACTGATTCTAGCACATATTTTGTTTGAAGTAAACTTTTTTTGTTTTGGTTTGGTTTTTGTTTTTTTGAGACAGGGTTTCTCTGTATTGTTTTCGAGCCTGTCCTGGCAGTCACTCTGTAGACCAGGCTGGCTTCAAATTCATAGAGATCTGCCTGTCTCTGCTTCCAGAGTGCTGGGATTAAAGGCATGGGCCACAACACCCGGCTTGAAGTAAACTTAAATTATCTGGAATTTTTTATTATTTGCCACCATTTTTAAAACATACCAAAATGATCATTCGATAAAAGGAGTATTATTTAGAAAAAAAAAAGGGGGACCTTTGTGCTTCATAGAGCTGAAGTTACTTCACATAAGCTTGATTAAACGGAATTTTATAAACATCAATTTCCTTTGAATTTTGGCCCAAGGACACAATGACTAAACATGGCTATTTTACCTAAAAATAGATCATTCATTCCTACTATTAAAACTGAATAAGAGATAAGAGTGAGTAGCAATTATTTATGTAGAAAATATTTAAATATGAAAATGTATGGTTGTTTCTGGAAGAGAATGGTGTTTGTCTAGAGTTCATTTTAACCTTTTAACATGTTACCAAAGGCACACACAGAAATCTGTCTGTTCACCCGCTTCTTCTTTTCCACTTCTTACACCAGGCACTGGGAGCTAAAAGATAGACTACCCTGGCCAGCCTTTCTTTGGTGTGTGTGTGTGTGTGTGTGTGTGTGTGTGTGTGTGTGTGTGTGTGTAGGTCAGGGGACAACTTGCAAGAGATGGCTCTCTCCTTCTACCATGTGGGTCAGTCTCAGGGGTCAAACTCAGGTCTTTAGGCCTGGTAGTGTGATAGCTAAGTTAGTTAAAGCTACATCTTAACTTTAAGTTACTGTGTTTAAGAGATCTATAAAACAAAAATACCTGTAACCTGTAAGCCCTACTTGCCCAAGGACAGATAACTTTATAGAATGTTGGGGCTATTCATGCAAAATATAAGCCTGCCCATTTTTTACTTCTGTAAACAAGTTTGGTTGCATCCACTGCATAGGATATGTGCTTGATCATACGAAGGCAGGAGGTACTTAGGGAGGAAGTATGTCAGGGTGTATGCTTGTCTCTGACTGGATGAAGACAGGAAATACATAGTTTTTCCTATGAGTTTTTCCTTTATAAGCCCCTGCCTAATGCAACTTGGAGCCATACTCTTGGAATCCCAGGTATGCATCTGGTCAAGATCCATGGTTTTGGCCAGTATTTAATACAGCTTGCTTTAAATTTGGCTCAAAAATTGTGATAGTGGTCTTATTTTCACCTAGTTGGATTAACAGTGGCAAGCATTTATACCCACTAAGCTACCTCACCACCCCCTGAACTGAGGCCATTATCAGCTAGACAAAAATGTGCAAACACATATTGGGGGAGTGATCAGAGCCCACAAAAGACAACCCTCCTTACCCACAGAGTCTAGGCTTTAATAGCTTGCTGCCCTGGCTCTGGTCTCTGCCCTCCACATGTGACTTTGAGGATCTGGTCCCAGGCCCAGCATGTCCCTTGGGTGCTCTGATTACTGAGTGCAATTGTATCTGTGGGATCCAGAACCTCCCTCGGGTTTCCAGATGAGGGGGCAGAGATGGAGGGGGAGCCCTTTAAGTGGAGAGGATTGGAGAGGGAGCCAAGCATCTGAAGTATACAGGAGGACTTAGCAGAGGTGGCTGAAGTATGGAAGTGGATAAGGTCCTCCAGGGATGATAGAGAGAAAGAGAAAATGCAAGAGGAACATCCCATCATGTCAGCAACTGGTTGGAGCTGCTGATTCACCAATAGAAGTATTATTGAGGGTTTTTCTTATCCTTAAATAATTCTTCACATTTAATTTGTTTCTTGTTTGCTTGAGTTGGAGCCTCAATTGTAGCCCTGGCTAGTCTGGAACTCACTATTTAAAACGCACAAAGACCCACCTGTTTCTACCTTGGAGAGTCCGGGTTAAAGGCAATAGGGGACCATAAAATAGTCTTTGAATTACCAGATTTTTTTGAAACACATGAAGCTAAGTGAGGTTCAAACAAACTATTGTTTGGCAGGACGGGGGAAGTGACAACCATGGCCAGGTTCATCAAGGCTCCGATTGTCATAGCTAGTCTGTGTTCCATAAGGAAGGAGAGAGGCAACACTTAGGGATTCCAAGGGCTTTAATAAATCACCACACATTTGGGCTCGATGATAGGTCAGTGCCACAGGACAAGGTCTCGGGAGCCTTGCTTTTTCTGGCAGCCCCGTGCAGGAGCAGAAGTGCCGTGTAAAAGCATGAAAATCATAAACACTTGTTGCCAAGTTACAAGTAAAAATTTCTCCAATTAGGAGTCATAGACCAGGGGCTTTCCTTGTGTGTTCCATCATTGTCAACAGACACAGAATGGAAGCTTTTCAGTTCAACCAATCAGATTCATTTGTTCTTTCTTTTGTTGAAACAGTAATAATGTCTTAGAGAACTAGAGGCATGACAGACTGCTTCTATTATTTAAGGAGGAGGTTGATCAGCCATTGAAAAGTTCTCAGCTCCCCCAGGGCTTGGGAACCTTCACCCTATAGGTAAAATGGGGTCTGAAGTCAAAATGGCAGTACTTAGGACAAGATACTTTTGCCTGGTCCCTTCACAAGCTGAGTCAGTCCCTCTCTGAAGTGTTTCTGTCTTTGCTGATCAGATTGGCTTATTTTAACCAGGCACCCTTGAAAGCCTCCACTTTTCATCTCAAATAGGATTTTAGTACTTTTTGTTTTTGTTTTTTTTTTTTTTTTTATCGTGTATCAAGGCTGTCACTCTTATCTAATCTCCCCAAAGCCTCTCCCTCTTCCTTACCCCAAGTCACAAGCTGCTTTGCTGGCCCATGTGAGATAAGCCCCACAAGGCCTGGCCACCTTCAATTGGCAGGCAGCCTTTGCTCTTCCAAGGCACTGGCTCCAGAGTTACAGAGCAGCTGCCTTACCCCAAACCCTGTGCTAGGTGAGGGGAAAGCAGGCAAAAACAATACCATCGTCTGCCCTTAGGTAGTCTAGAGCAAAAAAAGATTAATTTATATGACACCGTAGACATGATTGTCTGGTTAGAGTTGACTTATGGGATCTGGATGTGACATTTGAATTCAACTCTGAAGATTGGCAAGGAACTGGAGGGGAGTGGCTGAGTCATTTCATACAGAGGGAGAAATCTAAAGGATTCAGGTATTATGTTGACCTGCCCCTGTCACCTGGCAGAATACACTCAGGCAGTACCCTGGTCAGCCCAGGGATCCATGGCAGCTACATCAGTAAGCAGTCTGCATGCAAGCACAAAGGACCCTTTAAAAAGAAAAACACCCACCTACTTCTGCTGTTTCCCGCTGTTACCTGAAGGGGTAGTGAGGACTTTTTCTGTCTCCCTCTTCTCTTCTGTCCTCTCTCTGTCTCTATATCTCTTTACATTTTTTTCTTTCCTTCCCCTCCCTCCCCCTTCTAATAAAACTTCTCACTTAAGCTATGTCTGCCTGGCATGGTTGTCCCTCACCCACCATGGAATCTGCCAAAGTCCCCACATGTTTTATTATAATGAAAGGGGCTGAGGAGTAGCCAGGCGAACTGGAGGACAGAAAATCTAGAGTCAGGGCCTAAGCAACTGACCAGGTGGGCGAGGGCTGTTCGGATGATGATGGAGTGGGGCTGGACTTT